TATTATTATTATTATTATTAATATTTTATTAATATTAACATTAATGTTATTATTAATAATATTAATATTGCTATTATTATTATTAGTGTTATTAATAACATTATTATTAATATTTTATTATTGATATTATTGTTGTTATTGTTATTAATATTTTATTATTACTAACATTATTAATATTTTTATTATTAATTCAGATGTAATAATAATTTTTAGTAATAATATTATTAATAATAACATTGTTGTTATTATTATTATTATTATTTATTAATATTATTAATAATATTCTCCTTCTTATTATTAATATGTGTATGATTGTTGTGTTTTCAGGTATCAGTCCTTAAACCTGACGCACGTCCCAGAACACAGTGTGCCTATATACGAGTTTCGGTGACGCTGAAGAACCGGCGGGAGAATCTCCAGCGGACACAGAAGAGTGTGTGAAGATTGTGCTGTTCTCTATCCTCACACACACACTCACTCTCACTGACACACACACACACACACACACATGCACATACACACAGGCGTGCGCTGGTCCAGATTGAGGCGTTCAGAGACTCACCGCAGTGTTTTTGCGCTCCTGCTTCTCCCTCTTGTTTTTAACTCCTCTGTCCTCCGGCCGGTTTTATCCTTCAGCTTTGGGGATTAAAGAAACACAATTAATAATTCCTCCTCCTCCTCATCATCTTCATCACAGTTTTCCCTCTGCGCTGGACTGGAGGAGATCATCGGGAATATTCTCTTCTTCTGTTTTTGCCTTGTCGTGTGTTCAGACTGCGTGGACGCTTTCCTCCAGACTCGCTTATTTATTTACTTTTATTTTTATTCAGATTTTTATCCTTTTTTGAGTTATTTTTTCTTTTTTTGATTTACTCGCTATCTTTTGTTTACTCTCTATCTCTCTTTCTCTTTTCTCTATCTCTCTCACTCATTTTCCTCTCTTCGTTCTCTCTCTCCAACTCAGAAATCCATCAAGTCAGTTTTAAGTTAGTTGCAATTTTTATTTATTTTCTCCGAACTCTAAATCTGCGTCCCAGAGTTTAGTTCAGATCTCACAATTCTGACTTTTGTTTATCTACTCGCCTCCGACCTTTTTAGAACAACTGTTTTTTACTCTTGAGGTTTGGGGATTAATTAACAGCATAATAATATCAATAATAATAATCAGTTTTTCTTCTGCCCTGGATTGGA